GGAGCTTTCCTCTTGGAAGGCCTTTAAAGCCTGCAGTCTGTTCTTTTAAAGATCTTAGTGTTGCCAAATCTTTGCAGAAGAGTGGATTTGACTTTTGGAAACTGCCAAAAGCCAGGCAGAGCAAAGTTTAGTGAATGAAATGTGTGATCAAATTAGGTGGCACTATTTTGGTTCAAATGATAGATGATCATAATGCAATGAGACAGATTTTCTTATATGATTTGTAAAACTGACTCTAAAGGAAATTCTAGCGAAGTGAAAGGAGTATGTGTAATGGAATAAACATATGTATTCTATTTTCCTCAAGTAACTTCCCTGAGTGATACATATGAACACATAAGCTCCAGTGTAAGGTTTACATTGCTTAATAACCTATAACCCACAAACAGAAGGTTCCTTAGTATATGAGACTTACTCTGTCATTAAGGGGAAGGACTGTCACTAAACCACAGAGGTGGAATGGTATGTAAGAAAGAACACAGGCTTCAGGAGACTGATCTGGATTAGAATCAGGATATGACTTCTTCCTGCCTGCATGACTTTAGGGAAGTCACAAACTCTCTAAAATGTTCAAACTGCTCTAAAATTCAATGAATCACAACTATTACTAATAACCTTAGTAAACTCAAGATAATTTTCTGAGTACAGGTGGCTTAATATGATACAACAACTGATAGTCATCCAGGTGAGGAGGAGTTAGTTCATGGATGGTACTGATAATACACTCGTACTGACAGATTCACAGCCTGCTTTTTAAAAAGTCTGTAAAGACTACAGTAGTTGCAGTGACTAACGCGATGTATTTTTACAACACAGCATACATGTCACCTGCAGCACTCCTACCACAGACCTTTCCTTCACTGTCTCAATGTACCACGCCCTCTCAAGATCTCCTGTCTTTGCTTATGTTGTCTCTGGGAAGATACCATTCCTGCACTCTAGTCTGACAAAACCCTACCGTTAGCCTTCAAAATCTAGATTAAAAGTCACTTCCATATGGAATCTTTCCTGCTTGCTCTAGAGAGTGGCTCTGCCCTTTGTACTCCCATGGCATATGGCTGCTCTCTCTCTAATCCTTCATGCATTCTCATTTCTTTCCATGTCTACTTCCTCCTAGGCTTGCACACTGACAGAGGAACAATATCTCATTTTTTGTACTTATAACACCTAGGCACATCTTTTAGCAATGGTAGGAACCTGGGAGAGTCCCATGAATGAATGCTTTATTTTTATTTATTTTTTTTTTTTTGGTTTTTCTCCGGTACCGGGAACCGAACTCACGACCTTGCGCTTGCCAGGCAGGCGCTTTTGCCACTGAGCTAAATCCCCAGCCCCCAATGAATGCTTTAAATACACTTTTATAACAATAAGTAAAGGTCAGGTAGCTGCCTTTAGTGCACTATTACCAGCAATCACGTTCATTTTTCCTGAACGGGACCATTTCCTGTCAAGTAAGAGACAAGATTACTTACATAGGCCACAGACTGGCTTTAGAAGATACAGCATATAAAAATTTCCAAAACACTGCTGACCTCATCTGTACTCCATGCCCATACAATAGGATCCCAAAAGAGACATTTCTCAGCCTTTGCCCAGTCCATACTATCTGTGGGGTGCACATACTCTCACAAGGAGCTCACTGTGAACAACTCAGAAGACTTAGCAGAATTCTCACAGCCTTCAGTGCTGCCGAGATACCAGAGCTAAAGGGCCTTCTTTGAGCCAGCAACTCCACCAAGGTAGCAGAAAATCTTCAAGCCCTGTAGTACGTATAGAGTGCCCATTTAATGTCACCTACTCTCAGATCCCCACCTCTCAGCCACCTCTCCTGGGATCACAATTTGCCAATTCTGCAGAGTTCCCCACCTCTCCTGGGATCACAATTTGCCAATTCTGCAGAGTTCTACTAGTTTGTCTATTCTATAGACTAGGGCTCCCTACCTAGAATAGAATACATCTCCCACCAATAGCTGTTAGGAAGCCTTAAGCATTCAAGGAAGGACTTCTTGGTGTCTGTTTCAGCAAGTCTTAACCTGTGTAACTAAAAAATAATTATGAAAAGAAGTTCATGATCAACCAGTTCTGTACCAGGTGGAATTCGGCAGAGGGTCAGTTGGCAGCCCTGCACAATTGAATGTTGACACTTCTAAATCATGCTGTACCACTGCAGTTTCCAGAGCTCTGGTAACCCTACAGTGGGTTCAGACTCATTGAGATCTGCAACGTAGGAAACGCAACCTAGAGCCATAGGTCCTACCTTGGGAACCACCAAACCATGACAGTGACTATTTCTATGATTCTGCAAATTAAATACAGCCACGTTTTGCCTTAAGGTCATGTCTTTCCATCTCTCAACAGAATGACTGTACTCTATAGGCAAGAATAGGATGAAAGGAAAGAAAACCAGGTTATAGATCACCAGGAGAGTGGTGGTTGAAAATAATAGCTCTAAATTTCTATTACTGCCACTGACAAGTTATTCATTCCTCATTCCACAAATATTGAATGAGCCAGCCTCTATCCCATGTACACAAGTTACAAAAATGATACAGTCAGCCTTGGCCCACAAGAGCTTAAATTTTAGTAGGGGAGAGAGGTATTAATCTAACAAACATACAAAGAAATGAAAGAGTAAAAATAAGTGCTATACTGGAAAAGCATGACACACTACATATTTTACAATCAGGAAGCAGGAGACCTGGTTGGGAACTTCCCTCAGCAAGTTTCATGAGAGTGGAGATCTCAAAGGTCAGTAAGAGCTAACTAGGTCAGCAGGAGAGGGAAACATTCCTGATAAAGACAAGTTTGTGTCAAGGTCCTAGGGTAGGACAGACATGATCACTTGGCTCAGAATTAGATACAGGGAGCAAGGAAGCAGCACTAAGATCTGAGGCCCCAACACAAGGCACTGCTCTGCCTGCGCTCTCTAAAGTCTGGAAGGCTCTCTCAGCATGGAACAAAACTAAAACATAATGTGAAAAACTAGATGTGCACATATGACATGAAATTTCAGCAGTTAAAAACATTACGACTTGCCAATATTACCTGGCCAATGTCTTACTGAAACATCTGTAAGGTAACACTCTTCTCTCCTGCTGACAGTACCAAATCCAGAAAATGGCACAATAAAAAAAAACTTTAAATTTTTCAGGTAGAAATGCATTTTAATCCAGGTAATATTAAGGTACTGATACATATGCTGATGGCCACTCTATACCTGTTTATAATTTTCATATACTAGGATTTCGGTAAAAAATAAATAAAGGTAACGAGAAATGGTTAAGAGCTGCACAGTTTTACCTTGGCAACCATGAGAGACTGTTAAAATCACTTGAGGCAACTCTTTGTGGCTTCTGGATTGTCTGTCACATTGCAAACAAGTCATGGAACTTTCTATTTGTAAAGCACTTGGCAATCAATCATTAATTCAGCCTCAGTACCCTGTTGAGAGATTATAACTCATTCTACAGATCAAACAGACAGATAAGTGAGCTGCCCAAGGACACAAAACAATTTGGCTTTTATTTATCACTCTTATCACCCTCTTCAAACAATGAACACACACAGAAACCCTGTTGCCCTGCAGACCAATCCGAACGCCTAGGAGCAGCAGGGGAAGCCACTGCAGTTGGCTCTCTGTTACTTGTTCTCAATAAGCTCCTCTGTGCAGAGTGCCTTGAAGACCAACAGTGATAATGACTGCACTGTGATAGGACATCACGAACTCTAAGAGTAACAGAGCACTCAGGATGCTACAATTGCTCATAAATGTCACCATCCCTAAGGAGACTGCTCCTCCAACACACACACACACCGTGCTCTCATTTCCTGTCACCCCCACCAAGCAGAGAAGACAGTGTTCTCCACCAGACCCCCGCCAGTCCAGTTCTGCACAGTCCAGCAAGTCACCGACTTACATTGCCCTTCTTCATCCTCAAGCTCGAACTGCGAAGCATCTGAATTACCTAGCTGGTAACACAAATGATTTACCGAGTGAGTGCACGGCTTCCCACTTGCAAATAAAGGAAACAAGTATTCCTCTCACAGAGTAATGGACTTAAGAAATCAGTTCGACTAACTCCTAATTTTACAGATGGGCCAAAGAAGGGCAGAGAATCAGCGGTGTATGTTTTGGCCAGTACCACTGACATTTTCTAAGCGCCTACTATGTGCCAGGGTAGGTGGGTGGCCAGTGCGGAAGGGAGAAAAGTAGGACGTGCTCTGCTTCAGGGTGCTCCCAACCTTATCGGGACCCGATAATTCCGAAACAGTTGGGCAAGTGCAAGGACAGAAGCTTTATTCCTTGGCCAGCGTTTTCACCACACCGTCCACTTGGTGTTCCCCCATCTGGGAAGTCAGGACAGCATACGTACTTCCTGCAGAAACTGTAAGTTTTTATAGTGAAGACCGGCAAGCAAAGGCATAAGGAAAATGACCAGGTTCACCCCCAAAGGCATTATGTAAGGTATTCACCTATCCTGAGGCCCACTCCAAGGACTCAATGTTTCAGATACCGGTTCACCAAAAAGGAAAAAAGTGAGGGATGGGCACGGATCCAAGGAAACCCTTACGGGTTGACGGGAACTGGAGGAAACAGCTGGGGTGGGGGGCAGGCGTGCGGGATCCAGCGGGACGGCCCCGCGCGGCGCGGAGAAGGCGGCGCAGGCGGCGGGGTGGGGGCCGAGCACAGCGAGAGGGAAGCTGGGGACAGCACTGAGGGAGGGCAGGCGGACAGGACGGGGCTTCCTGGGG